TGATGAAAGATATTGGGTTGTCCGGAAAGTTCGTGCCGCAAAAGATTTAAACTTAATAAAAGTAAAATTTAAATCTTCTGCGTTTCAATTTTCCTTCAAAATCGGCACGAACTTTCCGGACAACCCAATAGTTTTAGTGCAGTGCGAAGGACAGATTCTATTTTTTCGTTTTTAATATTATTGCTGTACGCTATTCTTATCTGATTTAGTTTTTCTATTGTTTTTAATTTGCTTGTTTTATTTAATTTGTTTGTTTTATTTAATTTAGTTTTAGTTAATTTATACGTGAGTGAATTAGTAAGTAATCTTCAATTTATGGTTTGTATTTTTTTTGCTTTTAATTGTGTGACTTTGTATATTGTGTCAATATAATATACAAAGTCTTGTTTTCTATTGCTGTATAATTTTTTTTATATAGTTACTATACATTAATAAAATTATAACTTTTTAAAAAATTTCTCAGATTTTTTACAAGTTGAAATATATCTAAAAAGTAGAAAAGATAAGAGATCTTTTCTAGAATTCTTTATATATTTTAATTTAAAATTTCTAGTTCTATATTTTCCGAAAAAAATTTATAAAATCTGAAAAAATTTAAGATATTTTTTCGGAAATCTTCATACGTTTAAAATATAAAATATTTTAAAATATGATACAGAGAGAGAGAGAGAGAGAGAGAGAGAGAGAGAGAGAGAGAGAGAATTCTTTTCTTCAGGATTAATTAAATCGATAAGCAATCGTTGTTATAGAGACGCGTTTAAACAGAACCTCTTAAAATCAGCCTGCAACTTGCAAGTAGATCGACATGTTAACGTTCCAGTCAAAGAGTCGTTCTTAGTTTCGATATAATATTTCATCATTGTTATGGCAAGTTTACCCCTTTTACCCCTTTTACCGGGATACACTTTTCAAGATATTACCGTAAGTATCCGAATAATTATATTTGATCTTTCTCTCTATTTTTATGTCATCAAGAGAATTATGTAATTGGAAGAATTGTATCGGCTATAATTGATTTCATATTTCCGCACGAGAGATATAGTTTTCTAAATTGGAACTGGCTTTAATAACTAATCAGAATATATTGAATTCCATCATTTTATAAGGTCAAGGATTACAAATTGCCGCACAAACTCGATGTTTTAAATGGCTTCCCTGTGGTACGCGATACCAATTACGGCATTGGAAGGAGATTAACCGATGCAGCATCCATTCGATATGCCGAAAGTTTAGATCCTGTGGAGTAAGTAACTGCGCGAACTTTTCTATTCAAAAATTACACACATCGTATTTATATCAATTATATTTGTTCTATAAAACTATACAATATAATATGTATATAATATGTATATAATATGTATATAAAATTTTAATTAAAATGATTATTAAAAGAATATTTAAAAGTTATTAAAGAATTAAGGTAACTGTTTTGTAATTCTGAATTTAATTTGTCGAATTTCATATATAAAATCTCATCTATTATTATAATCATTGGTTTTCCAATTTATTAGGGAATAATTAAAATAATTAATAGTAATGTAATGGTGTAAAGTATTATCATTTTATGGAAAATAGGATAAAGTGTGTTATGCATTAAATATATCATGTGTATATTAATATTATTTAATCGGGATTAAAATAATTATCTGGCTTTAATTTTTATTGTTATTAACAGATATGATATATCGTCGATTTATGGTCCAGTGTCTTGCTATGTGTACCGGCAATTTGTGCCGCATTTCGCGGTGTTCGCGCAGAAGTGTCTTTGTTTTAAAGCCTTCTTCCGCCAAGGAGTCTTCAACTCCCCGAACGAACATTACCGCATTCGTCATGTAAACATCATCTATTATTTAGAAGATGACACACTCTGCGTGATAGAGCCCGTGGTGAAGAACGCTGGTTTTCAGCAGGGTAAGCTGGTGAAACGCAGCAAGATTCCGAAGAATATAAAGGGAGATTTGTTCATCTGGAAGGATTTCAACATTGGGATTGATGTTTGTACGTTATTGATGATTAACTCTCTTGTCAATATCCAGATTTCCCTTTTCCGTTCAATACCGCGGTATTGAACTATGCAAACTCTCCAATTACAGCAGTGTAGAGGGCTTCAAGATTGATTCAGATTTAAAGCTATCCGAATATCCGTTTATCCGAATTACGAATAAATGTGATGCTTCAAATTCGGAGATTCGAATAGTAAAAGTCGAATCCAGATCCGGTTCTCAGATTTGGTTCCGGATTCGTAGCAAACTTGTAGCGAATTCGGATGCATTAATGTGGACTGAGTGTTAAAGTCATTATATGTATTATACACTTATTTTAATCTGAGTGTAAAAATGAAATACAAATATTTCTCTTATTAGCCTTGTACATCTTTGTTATTACTATTTTAAGATTGTGAGTCTGTTCTATAATATTTATATTTATAAATAATATTAAATCTCATTGGACGTATATATGAGAAACACAACCTATAACAAATGCTTTAAACGATCTAATTGAATTTTAAATGCTTATATAATTCTGTGTGAATCTATATTTATATTTTTCAATTTTATTTTTCTTCAATTATATATGTGAAGCAAAATTCAATTTTTATTTAAAAAGTTTTTAACTTACGTTAAAATTCATTAAATACATCGATGTTTTCTTTCTTTTTGAACATGGATTTAAATCCGAAGCCAAATTCAGATCCGAATCTGAATTTAGATTCAAATTCAAATCCGCGGATCTGAATAATTCGGATATCTAGATTATTCAAATAATACGGTTTTGAGTTCTCGGATCGGAATCGATTTTGAATATCTGAATATCTATAGATATTCGAACGCTTAGAAGCCCATTTCTATTTCATTTGCGTTTGTTACAAATGTGTGCAGGATAGAAAAGTCCTCGAATCTCTTTATCCTATATTATATATGTATATATATATATATATATAGAGTCAATAAATAGGCTTGAAATGTATCGCAAAAACTCATAAATGAAAGCGGCCTAAGGCCCCAGTTGCACCAACATTACTTTGACTTTAAGCAAAAGCTTCTCTCCGTCTCTGTCTCTCTTTCGCTTTTAAATGAGACAGAGAGTTTTAAGTGCTTAAAGTCAAAGTAACATTGGTTCAACAATTTTCCCAGTGAGAAATAACAATGGAACTGATGATTCCATTATTATTTCTCACTAGATTAAAGCTCCTGCGCCCTTCCCCCTTCCAGGTACTCGACAGCTATAAGCTGAATGGACAGATTTTCCTCCTCTAAAAGTTTTCTAAAATTTTCTTCGTCTTTTCTTAACAGACGAATCTGTATAGTGTGATTTCAATCTCGAATGAGATCTCCACGTGCGACTTTCTTCCAAAATTTATTTTTTTTGAAACTCTTTTTGATTCTTACTTTTCTATTAATTATTTATTTACGAGTGATTATGGAACAAATGGAGTCATCAGCAAATAAATTTGTAAGGTAGGCTATTTCAATGATTTATTTTTTAATGCATTTTGATGCGAGATTCTTAAAGTTTCATCTCGAAATAATATTTTCGAGCTAATTATCTTGGTGAAAATTTTTCTCAAAATTTTTTATATAATTTTTTAGAATTTTTATATATAATTTTTCAGAATTTCTCTATAATTTTATAATTTTCTTACATTTTTTATATGAATTGGAACATTTCTTAGAAAATCTACATCTTTTTTCAGAATATTTATCATGTATGTTGAATTATGAAATATCGTAAGATTTTTAAGATTTTTTTGTAAGTATAATTTTTGAAATGTTATAAAATCTAAAAAATTTTAAAATACTTTTTAAAAAATTATGACATGAGAAATTCCTGAATATTTCAGAATTCATTAGTATGAAAAATTCTGAGAGATGTAAACTTTCCGAATATTTCTGAGTATTTCTGAAAAATATTACAATTCGTATGAAAATTATGAAAAAAATGTTCACCAGGATATATATCTCTTTATTTGTAATTATCTATTTCTATCTATTTCAAAGAAATTTGTAGAACGTGAATGATTTTGTACATCTTTAAAAAATTTCAGATTGACGGCCAAAGAAAAATCCAGTTATTTGATGTTGAATGACGAGCCTGATTATGCCATAAACAATCATATCGGAACGGAAGAATTGATTCTAGCCACGAGAGCAGTTTGAAATAACCCAATACGAATATGAAGTTGATATAGATATATATATGAAGAAACAAATTTTAAAAAACGAAGAGATACCTCAACTGTATTCTATGATTTTCCGATTATGACTATTTTTTTATATCTTACTATTAATCTTACTATTCTTACTATTTATAACTATTTTTCTACATCCTTTTTTTTCTACATGTTTTTTTATATTTTTTTATATGCCTTTATAATTTTTTCTATCTCATTATGTATCTTTATACATCTTTATATATCATTTTTTTAGCTTAAAATTGTGTTTTCAGAATTTCTGAAATAATTGAAGCATTATAATTAAAATTATGCATAAAATGAAAGTATATTGTAAATAAAATAAGAATTAAAAATATATAATAATTTTGAAATTTTACATAAGCACACACGCATGCACGCACACACAAGTAGTCTATAGTTGACTATAA